ACCATCACCAACACTGGAGCAGACGGGCCATGGCTCTGCCTAACCCAGCCATGAAGCCCCCCAAGGGTGGACATCCCCTCCCCTCCGGTGACCTGTTGTTCCTGGGCTGCATAGAGCTCCTCGTGAAGACTCTTCTCCATTATGTCCAACCTGAACCTCGCCAGCACCAAAAAGAACCTCCCCTTTCGTGTTTGTAAGAGAACCCAAATAAAACTGAATCACAACAAAATGAGGTAGCTGTTTGCTGGAGAAGGGGAGAAAACCCTATTAATTTAATAAAAAGAGAGTGCTAAAAGCTTAACTACCTGTCTTTAAAAAGAAGCCAAAGCACTGATCCATAACCAAACAACAAATACACCACTTCTTCATCTTGATTTGTGTAGAGGCAAAGCTATGGGCACAAAAGGTGGTATTCCTCAAATAAAATCCATTTTAAAACTTGGCAACCGCCAGTATAAATACTTTACACTGTTAATGTAAGCATTTCTGTGCAGAAGTTTCATCGGCTTAACAATGTATTTAAAGAAGCTGGCATAACTTCTGTGCAAAAACACCATCAGTCTTTGTCTTGTATATCTTACAGTGCTCCAGTCACTAAATTACCACTTACCGCTATTAGTATCAGACTCCACCTCCCCGACAGACTCACTAACTGCTCTCAAGAACAGTGCAGAACCAAAACTATTCTCCTATAGCTTATTTTCTTTAAAATTGGAAGTAGCCACTGCTCTACAGACATTCCAAATAGGGTTGTATTGATTACAAGTGATGTTATAGGCACAGCAATTTTAATTCAAGCTAAGTGTCCAAAACTTTTCGTTCCGCCTTGACATACGGGTATAACATTCAGTAGCAGGTTTTTTTTTTTCTAGTAAACAAGTTCTCATGAAACTCCAATAGCCTAATTCCAAGATGCACATGCTGCCTCTCCAGTTAAAGGAAGCATTGGTAGGACAGTAATACATGCCTTAAACTTTCTGAACACAGACTGCTTCCCTGCATCAGTGTCTGTGATTGTGCATCCCCAGTTTTCCACCCATTCGGTACAATTAACACCGATTTCTTCGCCACACAGTCTTGAGTCAGAAGTGTGCAATTTAATATTTAATTATGAACAAAGCAGCAAACCTCAAAATTATGTCTGCCAGATAAATTTCAGCTTCTTCCTGATGCAGGCCCAGTTTCTGACCGCTGGACTGTTTATGCTGCCTGAGCAACAGAGAGATCCTGCACCTTCCCCAAACCAGCCTACACTGCCCCTCTCCGTGTTACAGTTTGCCATTGTATTGTTTCAGACCACACACTGTCACACCCCTCTAAAGCTCCTTCAGCTTTTCTCCACTTGCTTTCTCTGCATACCTCAATATGAAGAAGTGCTGGCTGTATATTTTGGGGAGAGCTGCCCTCACATGTGTCCAGAGATGCTGTCAGTATGTGGGCACAAGGATTCTCCTGGTGATGTGGAGAACACATCACCCATCCTTTTCATTTGAACCACCAACACTTGTGAAACGCCATGAGCTTAGTCAGCTCAGCACTGTGGAAATCAAAGCTTGGATCATGTAGCCAGCTTCCTTTAAAAAAAACAAACCCATGTGTACATCAAAGCCCCATCTGAGAAATTTCTCCACTGGTGCCTAGTGGCTCCACCACAACACTCCTCAATATCCAACAACTGGAGACTACACCCACCACCATGTGTCCTCTCATCACCACCATCCAGGTTTCCCTTTCAACACATTGTGCACCTCATGACACGGGCCAAAACCCAGAACGGTTGGCAGAACTAACCCAAATCTCCCAGTTTGCTTGGCTTTTGGAAGAGATGAAGGCAGAGGTGCTCGCAGGTAACACCATATGCTCTTCTCAGTTCCTACCACAGGAAGAAAGCAAAGGCAATGGCTGTGAGCACTGCTCTCCAGTGCTTTGGGAGCAGGACGGGAGCCCCTTCTGACACAGAGCTAAAGCGTCGGCAGAGGAAACCCACCCCGACAAAAGACATGACTGCGGCCTTTCACCACCAAGCACCAAATTTCCAATTTTTTTTAAGACGTGCGTTTTCATGGAGTGCTCGAAAACCCGGCTGCAGGGCAGTTCTCAGGCACAGGTTTAATTTCTGCTCGTTGGATCCGCGGAACGCTGTCCCGGTGCGTCAGAAGAAGGTTAATGAACAATTTAGCTGCCCTCACAACCACGTTAGTGTCACTTTCGGAAGCTGCGAGTTAACGCCCGAGATCTTTGGGGGTTACCCTCTTTGAAGTTCACTGATCCATAACCAATGTCCAATTAATTTGCAGGAACCTAACTATAATGACCATTGGTCTTTTCCTATGCATACAAAAACACAGTGGGTAACAGCGATGCTTTTGGCTTAGAGGATATTCTCAAATGCACATGCACGTTTGCACACCTTCAAAATATCCAACAGTAATAACGGGTTGTCTTCTCCATTTGAGGAATTTTTCACATTTGCTCTCCCGAGAGAAGAGCTACTGCATCAAGATTTATGAACTTTCTGCTGCAAAAAATTTGATGTTAATTCAGATGCTCATTTGCTAACAGAGAAATACTTCTATTGCATTTGCTCAGATTCCTATTTATTTAGGGTTTCCCTGTAAGTCAAGGAATGGAAGTTCAATCTTGGGAAGATTAAACAGGCCCTCAGATATAATGCGAAACAGCTTATTTCAACATTCCCTCAAGAACAGAAACAAAAAATTCTTCCACACATACTCAAAAAAAAAAAAAGATGTTTGTGGAAATTTTCAAAGTAAATTGGGACCCAGCCTTTCAAATGCTGCACATAGCTATCGCTTCTTGCTGCAAGCAGCTCAACCAGCTTCCAGAACAGTTACTCAGGTGCAAATGAACAAAAAAGACTGCAGGATAAAGATGCTACAGCTTAAAAAACAGCTTATTCAAGGCAGCTATTGCTATACAACATCCAGGAAATAAGTTAATTCAACCCAAGGTCTTGCACAAAGAGGAACAATCACCTCATAAATTAGTATCTCGGCAGATTTTTTAGATCAAAAAAATGCAGAGATTAGGCAGCTCAGCAGTATCTTCCATGGCGATGCTCTGGACACTACTAGAGCTGACATATCAACACTGAATAAAATAAAATAAATCACTTATCTTCAGTTACTCCAGGCTGAGAAATGAATCCTGCTCTGGCGAGAACGGTAAACGTTTTCATGTCTCCCTACCCCACACGTCAATGGAGCGTCAGTAGCCACAATGACAGGCTGTTGGACATTACAAATTAATAGCAATGCATTTCTTCTGACCTCCATGCCCCAGGTAAATATTTATTTCGTGTTGTTCCAATCTGGTATGAAAATGCCCAAGACCGAGGAACTCTACTCCAAAGCGCTTCTATTTCACAGCACATTTCTTAAACCATTTTAAAATCCGGCACAGATATATCCAGATAATGGATAAAAGTAATTTTTTTTTCTGAAGCTGGAGCTGAGAAGCGCAGTGTTGCTTATATTCACGTTTTTGCTACCTGCTCTAGTAAGAAAACTAAACACAGCTGAACCTCAAGTAAGTTATTTTCAACCTTAAAGCCATTATCACTTAAATAGAAAGATACTTAGACTGTAGACTTTTCTAATCCATCGCTTATGGTGAGTGCCTAACGGCTCAGTGAAAATGCACTTCAAGAGACATTCAAGGTTTTTATTAACTCCACGGGAAAGTCCCAAGACCATGGGATTTTTTTTTCCGACTCCTGATTAAAACAGCGGGAGTCCGCATGAACTACCCCCCCCCCCCTTTTTTTTCCTAAGAGTTTCACATGCAACACTCCGTCCTCAAAATCAATAAGAAAACAAGAATCAAACCGAAAACATTTTGCCAGCTGAAAGGTGCTGAGACCTTACGCGGGGTGGGATGCATTTCCAGCTGCCAGCCTAAAGGGACAGCCGAGGGAGATTAAACACAGAAATGCTTTTCATGAGGCAGGCGGCTTTGAAGAGGACAGTTCAGCTACTTCATTTCGTAATCTTCACAAAGCGTCAGATTTTAGTCTAAGCAGGTCTTAAAACAAGGAGATTTTATTTAAAAAAAAAAAAAAAAGAAAAGTAGGAATGTGTTCTGGCCGGGTTCTGTTGATTCAGCAAGGGTTAGACACACACACGCTTATTGATCCCAGAGAGCTCCCTGCTAAGTTAATTGTCTGGAATTTTAACTGAGCTCTCAGCAAGTTTCAAAATCCATGTTGGCTGGAAGTGGGTGGGGGACCCAGAAAAAAAACAGGCTGCAAAACTGTGCAACTCCTCCAGTTAAAAAAAAAAAAAAAAAGCAATTACTTTGAAGAAGGGAACGGCTGCAGCAGGGAATGGTTTTAACCAGATTTGGTGATTCTGACTTTGACACAGCTGGAATTCAGGGCCAGGAATCTCGTGTGCAAACCAGTACCATTACCAGGGAGCACTGTGAACCTCATTTCACTCGTACCAACATTACCGAAGCGAGCGTATCTCCTGCAAGCTTCCTGCAGCTTCTAGTTCACATCAATTTCCTGGTGCATTTACGCTGAGAAGTTTTACGATGAGCCACACTTGCCTGCGTTACAGTAACTGAACACGGACCTTCTGCTGGCATGGGCTGTGGCCAGCCTGAAACTGCAGCTTGCTCAGGGGCCTGTGCGTGCAGGAGGCCTGCCCGCGGCTCTGCACTGCCCACCAAGCCCCACCTGCCTCCACACCACGTCCAGGAGCGTTTTCCCCGGGTGGGGAATGTGCTGCAGGGGTGACTCGGGGCGATGGGACAGGAAGGGTCAAAGACACCCTTGAAATAACCTGCGACGACTTTCAACCACGGCTTTGCGTTCCACCGACTTTCAACCACGGCTCTGCGTTCCACCGAAGCACCCGTGCCACGCCACCCTGCCCCGACGCGGACGCTCCCCACCACCCCAGGCGCTCCGAGGCTTCCCCACCCCTTCCCCACTGGCACCCCGCAGAAGGCAGGCTGCCCCCGCGCCCACCTACCTGAACTCCCTCCCCTCGCTGTAGCGCCGGGCCGAGGCAGCGCGCTGGGTGGCCGTCTCCAGAAGCAGCTTCTGCGTGAGCCTGCTGGAAGGTGCCGAGTCCCTGCTGGCCTCGGGCTCGGCCTCTTGGTCACACTTCCACTCCTCGTCCTCGTTCAGAGTCGGCAGATAACCGGGTAGCCCTTTACCTGTCCCAGACCCTGAGCTCGGATCGCTGTAAATTTTTGGACTTTCCCCACCTGTCCTCGTGTATTCCAAATAAATATCCGACTTGAGGAACAAAGGGTAGGTATTGTCTTCTATCATGCACTGAATCTCCGTTTGGGCCTGGTCAAACATGTCCGGGTCAATCTGCAGTTTCATGACGCAGTCTTTGATGAAGCTTTTTGTGGCTGGTTTAATCTGCCGGGACACAATGCCATTGTTGTCAAGGATGTATTTTTTGTAAATAGCTTTTGCCAGCTTGAGTCTTTTCTCCTCATTAGACGCACATGGCTCCAGCTTCCTGAAGCCGCTGCAGGCAAACCAGAAGTCCAGCAGATCCGCGCAGTCCTCCTGTTTCAGGAAAGTCCTGAAGAGGTTGATACCGTCTTGATCATCCAGCAAGGAGTGCAGCGACTCAGCCCACTTCAGGTAGGGTGGAGTAGGTGAAGCACTCCCCTCGGGCTCGTACCCCAAATCCAAATCAGAGCGCCTCGGTGTTGCCGTGGACGTCTCATTTCTAACCATATCGCTTTTACCAGAGTAGAAACCATGGCTAACTGGCCTCGGATCCGTGGACACGAGTTCCCCCTCCTCACCAGGAACCGGTGGCCTCGGAGCATCTTCAGTGAAGCTTCCTCCGAGGTCCAAGGGGAAGCCTTTCCCCTGGATATTCATTTTTCCGATCCTTGCTTGCGCAGGAACAGCGGGGGATGAGCTCAAATCTCAAATCACCAATATTTGTAGCTCCAAGGCGAACAAGTTTGTTCAGCTGAAACAGATGAGAAAAAAATAAGCGAGTATCACTGTAAATAAACACTCTAAGAATACAAACCACCAATTTTGCTCTGCACCATTACTGTATTAATGCCTCTTTTTCAGTAGAGCCAATGGCAAAGCTCTTGGTGACTTCAGAGAGTAGGGAACCGGGCTCAAATCAGGCACCCTCTAAAAATGACAGTTACAAAAGATCCCAAAACTTTACATCCAGCATTTGGCATCTCTGCTACTGCTGGTGCTACGCTAAAACAGCGGGCAATTTCCTAACACCAGTGGTTTTACAGGACCCTGGGACCTGGCAGTCCCCTCATCCACGAGGTTTACCTCGGGTACCACAGGACACATGCCATCTTCTGCTCTGCCATTAACCCCTCTGCACAGCCCACCCGGACAGCACATGTACCAGGTCATAGCAAGGCAGCACGTTTTTATCTGCCTACCAATCTAGGAAATTCTCATCCCCAAAGAGGAATTTAAGGCTTGTGAAAAATATTTTGAAAGAATATCCAGTTAGTCCTGAAAGCGAGACTGCACCTTAATCAAACACAGGTGGCTTTCGTACGTTCGAGTGACATACCAGCGCCACATTCCTCGCAAATCTCTGCGTTTCAGAAATACGCTGCCTCGTCTAGCTCTAGGGGAATCCAGATGAATCGTTGACCCCAATATTTTGGGCATCTGGACTGCATTCTTGCTTCAGATGGGCATGTTAGCAGAGGAGCTCAGTTCTGGCACCGGTTTTTGTAGACAGGCCATTGAGAAAAGGTTCATTTACGCTAAACAACATTGCATGCTACGAGCCTGGGAAAATTTCAGGTCATCAAAGGAAGATGAAAAAAACACCTTGAGAAGGAAATCTGATCGAGTACAATGTTTTTAAAGAAGAGCAGCGAGTCAATATGGAGGATGAGAGGTGTGTGAAGGAGGGGAAGGCAGAGAAGGACAATCCCTGGGTTGCTACTTCTGCCGCTCAGCAAGGTAACTTTATCATTCAAAGACAGTAGCGAAAGTCTTGTTTCACAGAACAGCATCAGCCTCAAAGCCCCGAGTACTGCAGAGCACCAGCTGCCTGGCCAATTACTCCTTGCACTGGATTAACTCAATTGCATGTGAAAACGCACCAGGAAAGTCACATTTCAGCTCGGCCTCCCTCTCAAAGCTCATCCCCACCCCAGCAAACACGTCTTTGGGATGCTTTCCCATTTTTCCCCTTTCCCTCTCCCTGGCCGGACCACGAACTGCCGCCTGTGCCCTGCCTGTCCTCGCAGCCCCCCTGCACACCCCGAAATAACCCCAGCGAGGCCAGGCCCCGTCTGCTCGACCCGTTGCCGGTCACCGCCGCCCTCGCACCCAGCCCCAGCCCCCCGGAGCGCGCAGCCACGGCCCCGGCACCGCGGGATCGGGCTGCTTTTTCGCACCGTGCTGCCTTTTTTTAGGTCGTTTTCACCCCAGTTCCGGATGCGAGCGTTGGACTCGCACCCAGCTCCCCGGTGCAGATGCCCAGTTACCCCCGCCCGGGCGCTGGGGACCCCCCCCCCCCCCCCGCGCCCCGGGGCAGCGGCCCCACAGCTACGCCGGTCATTGTTGCGGCGAGGCGGCGCTCGCTCCTCGCCCCGGCCGCGGGGAGCCCCGCGGGGAGCCCGCCGAGAGCGGGCGAGCGCCGGCCGGAGCCGGCGAGGAGCCCGGCCGAGGGACGCCAGCGCCCGGCCGCCCCCTGACCCCCCGCCGCCCGGGCCCCTGCGCCCCGCGGGAGGCGCCGGGCCGGGGCAGGCTCCGCGGAGCAGCTGACAGGACGCCCCGCCGCCCCCGGGCAACTTCGGGGGGAAGGCGACCCCGGCGGGCCCCCCCCACCCCGCCCGCTCCCGCCGCCGCCGTCCCCGGCCCCGCTCGCCCTCCGCGGCGCGGCCCGGCCCGTGGCCGCCGGCAGCCGCCCTCCCTCCCGCCCGCCCCCCCCCGCGCCCGGGGCGGCCTAGCGCCGGCTCGGCGGCGCCCGGCGCGGCCCCGCGCCTCCCGCCCGCCGGCGGCCTCCGGCGCGGCCTCGGCGCAGGGCCTGGGCTCGGGGCCGCCTCCCCGCTCACTCACTCACCCGCACGGAGCGGCGGCGGCGGCGGCGCCGGGGCCCGGCCCATGCGGCTCAGCAGCGGCGGCCCGGGGCGGCGGGCGGCGGCGGCGGGGCGGCGGCGGCACAAAGCGGGCGGCCCGGGACGCCCATGGCCGCGGCCGCTGGCTTGTGGCGGCGACAGGGAGAGAGCAGCAGCGAGCCCCGCACCGCTCCGCTCCGCCTGCGCCGCTGCCTCCCAGCGCCGGGGAGAGCGGCTCAGCCGCGCCCCCCGCGCCCCCGGCCGGTACTGCGGGCCCGGCGGCCCGCGCCGGCAGCCGGCCGCGGGGGCGGAGCGGGCCCGGCCCGGCCCGGGGGAAGGCGGCGCCGGGGGAGCCGGGGGCGGGGGAGCCCACAGCCCCGGCCCCCCTCCCTCAGCCCCGGCCCCCGGAGGCCCGGCCGCCCCGCTCCCCCGCGCTCGCTGCTGGGGGGCGCACGGAGGGTCCGCGCCCGAGGAGCCCCGGGCGCACGGCCGAGGGTCCGGGCAGGGCGCGGAGGGGCCGCAGCGGAGCCCCGGCGGGGGTAGCCCCTCGGTCAAGGGGCGAGCAGCGCCCGGGCTCCCTCTCGCCCTGGCCAGGAGGAGCCCGCAGAGCTCCCCCCCGCCCCCCGAGCACCCGGGACGGGGAGGAGGGTGTCACGCCGCGGGGACCTCCACGGCTTAGCTCGGCGGGGAACAGGCGGCCACGCTCAAAACCGCCGTGGGCCTCTGCGGCTCCGTCCGGGGTGGAACGGCGGGCGGCGGGGCGCGGTGGCGGCTCTCGCCTCGGCCGACAGCGAGAGCTGCGCTGGAAACCGCAGCGTGTGCCCTGCGCCTCTGAGCGGGGCAGCTCCGCGGCGGGGAGAGGCGAGGGGAGTCGCCAAGAGGTGGCACTGCGTGGGCTGAAATGGGTCAAACCGCGTGGAGACTCCCCAGAAAGGCGGTGGGGGAGCGGGTCTCACCCGAGGGGGGGCTGGTTATTATGGGGAGCCTCCCGGCAGGCAGGGTACCCCGGCACCCGGGCTGCAGTGCCGTCCCGGAGTGGCGGGGACGGTGCGGGAAGAAGAAGGGGATTGCCAGCTGCGGAGAGCGAACGAGAGTAGCCCAGCGGGGAAGTGCGAGGCCGCTTTCCTTCAAAGCCCTGCGACCAAGCCAGGCAGACCCCGAGGTACCACCCCAAAAACATGCAAACAAGCCACAAGAGAGTCCTCTAAAAATCAGAAACGGCTCCGAAAGATTTCTGATCGGGAGAGTTTCTGGGTTTTGATGCAATCCTTCTACTGCGGGTGCCTGTTTTCATGCATTCAGGGAACACTTTTGGAAACGTGCAACATTTTTTCCCACCTTTCTGAAACGCACAGAAGCCCTCCCCGGGCGGCGGCGCTCCCCTTCCCACCCCGGCGCAAAGCCCGGCAGGACGCTGCGGCTCCTTGTGCTTTTTCATGTGAACGATGCTCGGAGCTGATTTACATGTAGCAGTGCAATACTGGTCTTGGGCATAATAATAGAAAAGCTGATGTGGGATTCAGCTGGTAAAGAATTAAAGGATGCGAATATAATTAATGCAATCAGCCTAGTTTCTGGAAAATAGCTCTTGTCAAACTCTGATGTCATCCTTTGAAGAGATTACAAGTTTGGCTGATAAAGGTTGTGGCATAGAAATAATAGACCTGGACTCTGTTCAGGCATGTGACTTAATCCATATAGTATTCTGATTAAAAATTAGCACAATACAACATCAAGAGAGACACCTTAAAGGGACTGGGAGCTGGCAAACCGACAGCCATCAATGGGGAATCCCAGCAGAATGGGAGCGCTCTCAGTGGGTGTCCGGGGGTTGGATGGGAAGCCCAACGCTATTCAGCATTTCCATCAATGGTCTAGAAATAGATTAAAAAGCCCTGCTGAGAAAAACGCTGGGGCCAGGGAAATGAGAGGGGCAGGAGACACGGATGAGGTCAAGACAGCTGTAGAAAACTTCATAAGCTGAGTCGCGGGCAAATGAAACATGGTTGAATGTGAGCAGCTGCGAAAGGATCCCTCCTCTGAGCACAGGGCCCTTCTGCTGGAAACCCGTGCTCTGGCAGGGATGGGCTGGGGGGGGAGTTTAGGAGGCAGGAGGGACAGTGCAAGAGCAACAAGCTCCCCACAGGGCATGTCCTGGCCAGGATGGGGCTGGGTGCTGCAACAGAAGGGATTCCAGCATCCGTGTTTCAGAAAGGATGCTGAGAAATAAGAGAGAAGGTGGAGAAGCGTTAAAACTGACCCCTGCTTTGCAGGGGGATGCCTGAGGACGGCAGCCTCCTTAGCTTGTTCAAAGGAGCCCCCGAGGTGCCTCAATTATAGCATTTAAGCAACTTCATGGGGGAGAGACGATCAGGTGTTAAGAGAGCTTTTCATCTCCCAGAGAAAGGCCCAGCAAGATTTCATGGCCCGCACTGAATTTGCCTGAGAAACTAGAGATGGATTTCTCTGTGGCAAGGAGGGGATCGAGGGGATGGGGGGGGGACGGGGACGGGATGGAGGACGGAGTTTGGGTGCACCAGGATGCAGGTGGCTGAAGTGCCAGGGCTTGGTGTGCCCTGGGGCTCCTTACTGCTCCTGGGAGCCAGGCTGGACCTGCTGCAGCGAGAGGAGTGCCGGCGGCTTCTCTTGCACCCACCTGCTCCCTGCCTGGGGTGAGCAGCCAGCACCCGTCCCACCCATGGCTCCGGGGAGACACGGAGGGTTCCAGCCCAGCCAGCAGGTCCCTTCCAGCAGCGCAGGATCGCTGTGTGTACGCTCTGTCCTCATACCCCAAGAAAGCGGAGCCAGCGCTGCCCTGCTTCAGCCCAGGCAGCCAGGCAGCTGCCCCTTTGTAGGCTGGAAAAGGCGAATTCCCTGCAGGCTGATGCTAAGCCGTCCCGGTGCCTCGCCATTTTCTGGTCCTCTATCCGGGCTGAGAAGGGCTGGGAGAGCCACGGGCTCCCTCTGGAGCCCCTTCTGCCTTTTATACCTCGGCTCATCCACACCGAGGAGCCCAATCCCTGTGCTTTGCCAGGGGCCAACATCAGCTACTTCCAGATTTACCTGGGGACATCAAACAGGTGAAAAACCAAACCGAGCATCCCTGGCTACACAGGAGAGGAATCAGCCTGCAAGGTCTTTCAACAAAAGGTAGAGGCCAGTGAACCAATCTGGGTAGTTTCTCCCTTCATCATCAGTTGATAGTGTGGCCCTGCCTTATACCTCCGCAAAACTGCCACAGCCAAGATGCCAGCGTTTTTTTGGTGCACACTTGGTGTCAGCCTGCAGCCGAGGCTGGTCCCCATGCAAGCCTGGGATGCTGTACGCTTCCCAGCTCCCGGTGCACACATTCATTTCTGCCTGAAAGAGCCAGCAAATGCTAGTGATAGAGGAACTGCTCTTAGAGGAACTGGTCTGAAGGGTCTGGGGCTGTGTCTAAGCAGCCCAATGCTGTGTGTGCAACACTTGTGCAATGCAATTCGCAGAATCTCCCTGCAAGCCCTTCGCTCCCAGCTCTCAGAGTTGCAAATGGACATTTTCTGGTAACACCATTAGTTCCCTGCCAGGTTGGCTTGAAGGCCACAAGCCTTCCAGCATCACTTCTGCAGAGGCTGAGAGCGCCCGGTTCAGCTTCACAACCGACAATATTAATCTCAAATTAATGCTCCTCTTTGTAGTGACTCACTGATTTCCCCCCAAACAAGGCAGGCCAGCCCTGGTGCTGGTGTTTGATGGCTGTTAGCATCCAGCATACCCTTCTAATGGCAGAGCTGTGCGTGGGAGAGAGCCGGCGTCCCTCCGGCCTGGGCAGTTTCAGGATGAAGCGCACTAGATGGTGCTGTTCAACCTTTGGCTGAGATTTAAAAGGCTCCTGCAAGGTCATAAGTGGTGCCGAATTTCAGTTTTGTTAAAAAAACCTTTTTGAAACTGGAGGAGAAATAGAAATACCCTGAAGTATGAGGTCCTACACTGATTGCTGGCAGAGGCAAAGGGCAGCTTGCCCTTAGAGGGATGTGTACTGCCTCCCCCCTTGTGCCTAGAGCACCCTCATTTCTGAGGCAAGGGTTGGTGTTTGGCTGCATGAGCAGCTATGACAGAAGGGGCTGCCAAGAAAAAAATGTCCCAGAGTGGAAGAGGAGGCTGATAGCTCTCCCTTGGACCACTGGCAATATGATGTTTGCAGAGCAGGGGGAAGAAAATGGATTAGCAGTCAAGACAAAAGTATTGGCGTTGTGACACCAGGAACGGAGGGCACCCTGAGGAGCCCAGCTGTGACAAGGCACTGGCAGCCCAGCGGCACTGCTACGGAGGTGATGAGCAAGTGGAGCCACAAGTCATGGCAGGCAGGAGAACAAAGCAGAGAAGTGGCCACAGATACGGCCAGGCTGAGAGCTGGAAGGCAGTTCCTGCCCTGCCGGGCCAGAGGGACGGAGCAGCTCCCTGGGTGGGGCAGCGAGGGTGCCCATGGGCAGCCAGGCCAGGGGCTGGGGGTGAGAGCTGAAGTAGGTGGTGCTGGTTGCAACCCTCACAGCATCCCTTCTTGCAGGAGGCACTAGTCTAAAGATATCTCCCCACCCTGGTGATGTCAGCCCCCCAAAGCATCCATGGAGCTTTCTGGGTCCCCGTGGTGCATGTCCCATGGTCAGCCTGCGCATAACTCCTTCTCTGAATTCCCCACCTCAAAAGAGGCAAACGCACCCAAATTTGTCAGCTTGGCTTGGACTTGCTTCCAGTGCTGGGCAAAAAGGATGAAGCACTGTTTGGACACCAAGCTTATGCTTTTTTGCTCATCTTCTGCCCTTTTATAAAGCCCATGCCCAAGCCTGCTGTTCCAGGCAAGTGGGAAGGCTGCGGGGCTCGGCTGCTTTGGGCGCTTGGGTCCTTCCCCTCCAGCAAAATCATCCCAGTTTCCCAGTTCACTCCTGTTCCCAAGTGGGTGCTTGCTTGGAAAACCCCAGGGCACGCTGGGGTTCCCCAGGCTAGCCCCCTCCAGGTACGGGGCTGGATTGGGTAGATGGGGTAAAGCTTTTGCTGCTTACATCAAAAATAAGAAAAACTCCAGCCCTTCAGCCAGGGTGGCCTCCTTCCAGGAATGTAAGGGCAAGATGGTCTGGACCAGCTCAGGCAGTAGTCTGAAATGTTTTTTGCAGCTGCCAGCATTTGCCCATGGTAGTGTAGGTGCCTGTATGGCAGAGGGAAGCCCCCACACCTTACCCTGAGCCCCTGCAGCATCCCAGCACCCTGGCCTGTTCTCCCCAGGGTCTCATTCTGCCTTTAGCTCTGGGAGCATCCCTGCTCAGTGTTTCACCTTGTGCCTGCCCTGGCATCAGCCTCCTTCCCCCAGCTCTTCTTCACCTTCCCCTGCCAGATTACAGAGCCCCCAGATCTGGTGTTTTCCCCCCAAAAGCTTACGGATGAGCTCATGCCATGCCCTCGGAGGCTGCTCTGGATGAGCTGATCACCTAACGGCCCGTGGCTCTCCTGCCACCACCCCTCAGACCATCCCCAGCTCCTCTTCTGGCTATCAACCACATCTAGCGATGCAAGACACTTTCGGGGCTCAGGACTGGAGTTTTGGTAAAAGCTTTCCCCATCCTTCTTCCCCTCCCTTCTGACTGACCAGGGAGAGTCACAGCAGCTTGTGGCCACTCTCCTCTGCTTGTCTCGCACCTCCATAAGACTAATAACAGTAATGGCTGATGTTCCTCTGATCCTGGATCCATCAGAGCCCAGTTTGTTCACATGGGCTTCTCTTCTCACCCCTTCTGTACCAGCTGCCCCAGATAACCCCTGGGCTTCTGCCCCAGCTTTCTGCCTAGAAATTTCCCTCTCCCCATCTTTGTTCAGGTCTGGAAATCCAGTCCACATACAGCAGCACATGGTATGGGTTACCCGTAGTTCCTATCCACTGACAGGAGGCTCATGGCTGCCATCAATAACTGGTCAGCTCTTTCTCTTACATGGTGATGATACTTTGAGGCAGGTATGATCTTCTTCTAGAAAATCATCTATAATTGAAAAACTGTCCAATGATGCTCTAAGGGTAGTGTAAAACCTGTGGCAAAAGCTATGAGACTGAGGCTACAATCAAGATTTAAGGGTGAAATTCAAGTCCTTAAACCTTGACATCACCTGGGCAGGGACCTAGCTTCTTCAGGGACCTCGCTCAGGATAGGAGCGGGCGGTGGGCGGTTGCTGAGCCCATCCCTGCCGAGTGGCGAGGGTGCAGCACGCACCCCAGCCCTGCCCGGGCAAGGAGCCGTCGCCGTCGCTCTGGGCCACGGCACAGGAGAGCAGCACATGAACCGACACGGGTGCCAGGACCTTGGTGTCCCCCCATCCCTCCCCACCTGGTCCCCATGCTGCCTTTGGGGAAGGGTTGCCCATATCTGTCAGAGCAAAGAGAGCCTGCCAGACCCCTGCCACATCCAAGACCCCGTGAATCCCCCGGTCTCGATCAACCCTCTCTGCCGAAAGCCATCGCACACACGCTCAGCCAACACCACCAATGCCCGATGCTCTTCATCACCAGCCGGTGAAGGCGAGCACCCCTCAGTGACATCCCACCCCCTGCACCTTCCCGCACCCACCTTTGGGGTCCGCCCCGGGCCTGCACCTGCCTCTCCATGCTCCGGACCACCAGGCTCGCTGCTCCTCTTGGGGGGCCAGGGGTGGGACGCCATCCACACATGTCCCAGCAGCGCCGCTCTGCAGAGAGAAGAGATGTCAGCTCGTCCCTGATGGGACCACCCTGCCCAGGAGATGCGTGCAGGGCAGCTGGGCCAGGCAGGGACACCCTCCGGTCCCCACTTGCAGGAGGGGAACCTACTCCCATGGTCCTGAAGGACACAATTCATATCTTGGCCCTCCATGAGGTGGAGATGTCTGGAGCGGGCTCTGCTCTGCCGTACGGGGACTGTCCCATCCCTGAGCATCGGGGCTCTGGAGCGGTTATCGCTGCAGAAAAGGTCCCACCTTACAGAGCCAGCACAGGAGGGGAGCAGCAGCATTGAGGGGGACATCCCTGTCCCTGGTCCCCAGGCCCCCCTGCAGACCCAGGGCTCACCCACCTGCCCCAGGGCATCCCTCGCTCGCCCTCTGTGCCTGCAGCTCCGGCGGCCCCGCGGCGGGATGGGGCGAGGCGGGTGCGCGGTGGGCATCGTCCCGGGGAGGAGTGTGGGGTCTGGCTGGTGGCTCACATCGTCGACAGCTGCATTGGGGCAGCTGGTCCCTGCTGGCAGGGGTGTCCCAGAGCAGCCGGTGTGAATTCAGCCCGTTTGATCCTGGTGGGAGGGGCCCATCTCCTTTATCTAGCCATCAGCGATCCCGACCAGCTGGGCTACTGAGAGGTAAGAGAAAGCTGATGGCAAGAGCACTGCTGGAAATATCAGTCGCTCCGCTTCTGCAGATCTGTTTTGCAACACTGGGCCAGATCTTCTGGCTTAGATGTGGTCACTAGCCTGGCTGGCAAAAGCAAGCTCAGCGCTCAGCGATGCCTTGATGTCTGTCCTACAGCCTTACAGTCTTCCAGCCTGCCTGTTTTCATATGATCCCTATCAGCGGTCCAGCTTGGAGAGCAAGTGCTTGTCCCCGTGCTCCAAGCTCATCCATCCTGGAGGGTCAGGTCTCCCACAGAGCTGGCAAAACGTTTTGTGATAAGAAAGGTCTGCTGACCATGCTTTGGCCAACATCTGGTGACCAGATGATGGCCAGTTGGATGCATGCTGCTGGTTTTTCAGTTTTTGCCTGGGACAAGGCTCACTGATGGTGCATCTGCTTGATGAGGTTCTTCCCAGAAGAATGGAAGACAGTCAACGAGCTGTCAAGCAATTTTAGTTTATTGTGAATCTACCTTGCAGCCCATGGACTTATGGTCAGATTTGCTGGGTATGGCGAGGCTTGTGAGGACATCTCAGAAACATTCACGCACCCAGGACAAGCTCTGGAAATCATTTTACCTGCACACATACCTGACAGGTACAGTTCACGTCTCAACTTACTGTTGTCCTTCTCCAGGAGAGCTCCCAGCTCGTGAAGTGAGAACGGCAGCTGAGGTTGTGGCTGGTTTGCTCAGGTCCAAAACCCAGCCAGGCCTGGGCAAGGGCAAAGGGTCCTTGTGGTCACACTGGGAGCTGCTGAGGGAAACCTCATGGCATTTTCAACCCTTATTTCTCCTGCAGAGTGGTTTTCCTTGCTGCCTCGTGCTTCTCAGGCAGGTCAGGGATGCCCCAGATGCTCCTCTAAGAGACGCTGTGCTCCAGAGAAGCTTTGGCTCCGAGCGTTCAGGCAGGCCAGCAGCCAGGCTGGGAAGTCGTTTGCAGCTAATTGCCGGTAACAGGCTGCTGGTGGCTGCTCACCTGGCAAGCAGGATGACCACGCTCGTGGGACATCACAGCCAGCCAGCCAGAGCCCTCGCTGGGCTCTTCTGTGGCATGATATATGGCACTGAGGGACCAGGTCTGCTCTGGGCAGGGGGACAAGTCAGCCCCAGCTGGGTATCCCTAGTCCTGGCAGGGCACTTATGGGAGCTCTCTACTCTTTCGGCTCTCTGGTAACGCAGCCAGGACCCCCCAGGATCTCTCCCTACCCCTGGTAGAACTCCAGGATCCACCACCCCTTTCCCAACCTCCTGCTTCCCAGCAGCACCTCCAAAACCTCCAGTCCCAGGTGGGGATTGACCTCCTTTGCCATCTCCCCTGTGAGGTGGCCTTTCCTCACAGCAACCATCCTGCAGCCATCTCCCCAGTGATGGCCAGCCCTCCCAGCTGAGCTGGTAGACAGGACAAGTCCTGGAGCCCCTCTGCCTCTGGTGACCTGCCTGGGGGTTGCACCACCTCTGGGAAAGGAGGTTTCTCTACAGGGTTCCTCTTCCATGGTGGGAGTGAGGTCTTAGGAACAGCACCAGGAAAGGCTCTGCACTGACGGACACCAGCTGAGGTCCTGACCAGCTGAGCCAAGATGCTGGACCCAGCCCAGCAGTGACTCTGGGGTTTACCTGTTTCTTTCTACCGAGAAGAGCAAAAATGCACAGAGATGTGATGAGGATGAGGCCCGTTTGCTGCACCATCTCTGCTGTGTCTGAAAATCTGCAGACTGGCTGGGTTCACCCAAGTGTGCTGGGGTTGATGGGGCTGTAGTGGTGGTGGAAGGAGGCTGCATGGGTGGGCAGGCTGGGGCAGGCTCTGTTGCTCCTCGATAATGAACCGATGCTGCACTGAGCCATGATTGACGAGCTGGGGGTGCTCAGTGAGTGCCATTTATTCATGCACTTATGGAATAGCCTCCAAACTCTTCTGCTGCTTTAGCTGCCCCAGCACAAGCCCAGGAGGTCTTGGTGTTGAGTCATCTCAGGGCTTTCCAGCATCAAGCAAACAGACGTGGAGAGTGTTGGTCTCATCCTGACACAGAACTGGAAAAATTGCTCACAAAATCATTCATTGTGGGAGGAAATTCAGAGAAGCGGAGGATTTCTGTCTTTGGAGAGGTCCAAGACTTTTTCCACAGCCAAGGCAAACCTGTCCTGTCACTGGATGTTGGCCATGAGATTCCCTGTCCCCTTCAGCCAGCATTTCTGCAACCGTCAGTGGCCGCTTTCCACTTGTGCTCACGACTTAGTGGCTCTCTTCCCTGCTGTGAAACGCCAGCCCTCTTCTCTCCTACAATACCCTCCCCTTTCCACGACAGAGTGGGAAGGTGAACCGCAGCAGAGCCAAGTCCTCTCTGGGTCAGGATGGCTGGGAGCAGGGGGAGACATGGGCTAGTGGTCATGAGCATTCCATGGTCCCCTCCTTCCCTGGGGAGGAGACAGCAAGAACCGCTCATCGAAGATGTGAGCATCAGGCTGGGCATGTGTCTCAAGCTTTCTTGTGTCCCATCTCTTCCAGACATGAAGCCTTGGGCTGTCTTCCATAAAGCTGTGCTGCTTCCCAGCCCTTCAGCCCCTGTCCCCATCAGGACACGGAGGCTGCTGCTGCCTCCCTTGCTCTGCAGGGCTGGAGCCACCTTCTCGTGTCCAACTTGACCACCTGCAGCCATTTCACACCACTCGTGCTCCTGCCAGCTGTGTCCTTCAGCTTATGCAGCTCTTCTCCCCCGTGGTGGGAGCAGGCAGCAGCCCAATCCCCACAGCCTCAGCCTTTCACAGCCTCAGACCTCGGGGTGCTGGGCTCTCCTGGTCTTCTCCCAGAGGGTATAGTCCCTGCTTTGACAGTTTTACTGGGCCTTCTGTTATTAATGCATCTCCTCTGTCAGAAGTCCTTCAATGAACAAACGTTGGTTGGCATGGTGGGCAGCCTCAGGAGAACCCGCGTCTGTCAAGCATGAGGAAATCCGGCCTCATACTGTGTTTCATCCTGATCCTTTATAGTTACAACTGACCAAAGCGCGAGAAATTGTGTGACAGTGGATGCACAGCACCAAATCTTGCTAGACCTTGGACTTAGCGTCTTCCTGTGGCAGCAGCTTCCCCAGCATACCAAGTACTTGTCATGGAGAACATGTGTCACAGAGGAGGTTGATGTGAACTTTGGTTAGTCCTCCTACGCTTCTCTGACCCTCCCAGGGCCATGAGGTGGGATGAGTGCCCATGGTCTGGAGATGAACATCTTGTAGGCAGCCATCCTATGACACCCCAGCCTATGCCACAAACCATCCCAGCCCACCTGAAACTTCTCCTGCAGCAGGACATGGAGTAGAGCCTGATTTAGCCTGAATTCTCATCCTCTGTCTCCCAGGTGATTTGTGCTCCTTATATGTTGGTCTGGCCTGGCAGCTCCTGTGCTGGGTGGACCTCTGGATGGACGATGCAGAACAGCCAAAAGTTTTGGGGATGCCTTGGCGATGATCAGAGCAACAGGCTGAGTTGGGCAGCAAGATTCAGCAAGACCCCATTACACTTCAGCCTTTGGAAGAGCAGCTGTTTCCACAGGTGGCATCCACATCCCTGACCCCCATCCCTTGGCGAGTCTCAGGATGGACCGTCCCAGGCTGATGACTCACAACTTTGTGCTTAATTGCTCTATATGTGCATCCATTTCGTGCAGAAACTTCTGAGCATTGGCCAATTTAACCACATTTGAGGAAGGCTGTAGTTCTGGAGGACTCCAAGTATCTGCGAGTGCTGTGAAAGTGGAAAATCTTGACCCTGGGCTTGCAGCAACAACCAAATCCCTTCGAGATCGCTTCCTCCCTGAGTCACTTATTCCTGTCAGCACCCCATTAGCACTACCCCAATGGCCAAACGCCCTGTGCCCACCTCAGGGAGCAACCAGGGGTGCAGTGAACCCCTTCTTCAGGAGAGGGCTCCTCTTCTCTGCTGCCCCTTCTCATGAGGACCAAACCCCAGGCAAGCCCTCTGGGCTCTTTGAAACAAGTTCTTTTGGTCCCTCCATTGCTGCCTCTCCTTTCCATGGTCTTACTGAAGATCCTCATCTGAGCCACTGGCCTTGGATGACACTGAGCTACCCAGGGTGGGAATAAGGACATTTTGGACTCTATGGCATCCTGGGAGGGCAATGAGCTCCTGAGTGAGCTTACCCCCTCCGGAGGCTGTCCTCTCCTGTCCAGCTGTGGACCATCATGGGCCCCCCAAGCCCTGCCCTGTGGGAGCCCATTGCTCAGACAGGCTGTACCTGCTGCCCGAAGGAGCTGTGGCTGGTGTCTCCTGCTCACCTCCAGCACCCCCAGCTCGCAGCGGCCACCTCGACCCCCCCCAGCTCAGTCCCACCAGCTCCCACCTCCTCCTGCCTGAACACCCCACATCATCTCGGCTGTGGCAACGTGGTCCCCGCTCAAGTCTCACCTGCCCTTTGCCACCCGTGGTTTTGATTTTGCTTTTCAGGTGCCTTGGCTCCAGGCTCTGCTTCTCGGGGTTTGGAGGACAAGGTCTACCCCTGTGCCGCTCTGCACCTCACCGCCCCGCCAGCACTGGCCCTTCGCAGCTCTATCCCCACATCAGTTGTATCCCGTGTCCTTGCAGGAAGGTGACTCCCCCCTACCCAGGACAACAGCACCTTCCCAGGATAAATCCCAGGGGACGCTGCCAGCCCAGGATGGCTGTTTCAGGGAGAGCCACCCCAGGTACCAACTCCCCATAGGAACTACCACCCCAAAACCTGGCATGGGACAAACCTGCCCTTGCAGCCCCCTCTGCTGCCCCCACCCTGGTGCTGCCCCAGCCCTGGGGGCAGGTGAGGAGTGGAGGGTCCCAGTGAGG